GCTGATGGAGGGTTAGGTTCGATTTAAGTCAAGTGTGTTCAGCGGTAAGCATACGTGCTTTAAGGGAGCAGAGGTGGCTGCTGAATCATGGTGACTTACCTGAGTAGGAGATGGTTTGGGAAGTTAGAGGAGCAAGGGAATCAAGAGTGGAGGAGAGAGAGCTGTAGAGAAGAGTGACCGAGGAGGATAGGTCATTGTGGAGGAAGCCCAAAGGGGAAGGAGTTTAGATGACTCCAAGGCAGCCAAGAGCGAGGTGGGAGGAGATTTTTTTCGAACTTCTAGTGAGAAATAATTGAGGTTTGCCTAAATGCTATCTCCAGCAAATCTGACACCAATGATGTAAGACTAAATCGATCATTGATGCCTTAAAAACATGGTACGCAATACCGAACAATGAAAAAATGTATCAGCAGGTCAATGAGCCTGATCACACCTCAATGTTTAAAATCATCGGCACTGAGCTATGTATGAGCTTCGTGATTTTAGAGCATTAATGTTCAGCGGGTTGTTAGATATGGCATCCTGTGCTATATTAAATATTAGCCCCGATGGCCAAGTGTATTGTGATACATAAGCGATATCCTGCAAAATACACAGTCACTTCACGTTACAGTAAATCTTATGAAGAGCTTTGATATGACCTGTTGATGTGAAAGGGACAATATCAAATACAAGAATTAAAAATACTATTATTCCATCTGCCATCGAATTTTCAAGTAAACCAACTAACCGAGTTCCCTACAAAATATATAGACACTCTGCTTTACGGTATATCCTATGAAGGACTTTAAGACATCCTCACGAATATTTGATATTGTGGGAGTCACAATATCAAATACTGAGATTATTATTATAACAGTATAGTGTTTCTTAATGAACTTCCAGGATTTCATCGCAATCCTTAGTGTGTCAGCGTTGATGTCGCCGGATGTCAGCAAGACAGAACGCACAGAATTACACTGCATTCCCTACACCTCGCCCACTCCCTCTCTGCTTTCCAAACCCATTTAATGATCTATCTCTGACTGTGCCATCAGCTGCCTCCTCCTTTTCCTCCTTCTCCCCCACCCAACCCTTTTCTTTTCCTCCTAGCTCTGGCTCCCATTCAGTCTTTGTAAAGTGCTTTAAGATGTTCTCCCTTTAGGAAAATGGCTACCATGTAAGTGCAAATTGTTGTTACTGCTTTGTAGCTTCTCTTGGGTATCTACGTTAGCATGTAAATCATCCAACTTGTTACTTTTCCATAAAAGATCTGAGCTTCTGATACACAGCATACTGTAATCAGTGCAGTATGTTGGTGCAGTGTTGCAAGGGCATATTGTTTGTTTTTAGAGAGGCTGATGTATTTTGTGCTCATAGATATATGTGGCCTATTAAATGTATGATGCAAAATGCAAAATTTTCAGGTACTATTCCAAACAATAATCAGGGTAGTAACTTTCGTTTTTTACAGATGGTTTTCCATTTGAAGTATTTTCATAAGAATCCAGGCTCATGTCCTTTTTGTGATCAGCATATCTTGGGCTGATGAATTTTTTTTCAAAATCCCATCAGTATACTCTGCCCACCAAACAGATGGTTAAAGTTGCAGCAGATAGGCTGTTTTGGCCTGGCTGTACTCCAGGTTGAATGTTACTATATATCTGTGTGACATTTGAGAAGTACATCAGTAAAGAACAATCAGCTGATTTAAAATTTAATGGCAACATTATTTGCATATGTGTTGGGGTAATCAATGCATTTGTGAATAGCAATGATTATCTTTTCAGTGGGCAATGATGCAATTTTAAGAGCGCTTGTTAATGTATGTTTTGTGTTCAGTAACTAGAATCGACACCCATGTTTCAGACCTGCAGTCCATTAGGAGCACTTAGTTCTGACATTGCACAGAGTGGCACAGAGTGGAAGATGTGGGGCTTTCATAGGAACATTGGAGTGGAGTCCTGTAGTGTATTGGTTAGACCACTCTCCTCACAAGCAAGAGGACCTGGGTTTGATTCCCAGGTAGGACAAAACATTAGACAAGTTTCCTTACTCCACAGGCCTCAATTTACTTAGCAGTAAATAGGAACCCGGTTGATGGACGATTGGCAAGTCGCTTTTCTGAGGGTAATAATCCCTTTGAAGTAAAATAAAAATAATAATAATTTGGTCACTCAATCCACAGCTGTTTGTGAGACACTGCTGTGTGCAATTGGCTGCCATGTTTCACCTACAAAATACACGGTCAATTCACTTTATAGTATATTCTGTGAAGAGTTTTGAGACATCTCAAAGACATGATAAGGCGCTATATCAAACACAAGGATTATTGTTATTATTACATTGGAATAGGAAGAAACCATTCAGCCCATCAAAATTGTTCCCCTAGCTTATTAAGTCTTGGCAGATCTTTTAATCAAATGGCTTGTCCTTCCCTTTCACCAAACCCCATAATATCTCTATGTCTCTATGGGAAGAAATGGTTCCTGACCTCAATTTTAACTATCTTATTTCTGACTTTTACCTTGTATTGAGGAAGATAGCGAAGGCTCTTCCCTGACCAGAGGGAGGAGTTGTCTAGCGGACGGATGTTGAAAACACTCCAAGGCTAGTATATCTTATCTAAGATTGGGTACTGAAAATTGAATACAGTACTACAAATAGAAGATTGACGAGCGCTGTATATCAGTGAAGCAGCACCTCCTTACTTTTATAATCTAGATATCTTGCTGCTGCAAAATGTTCCCTCTTCTTTCCATGTCTTCCCAGTTGCTGTACCTTTGCAGCCAAGTACTGAAGAGAGGTCAGGCTCTTCCACATGGTGGGTGGGGTGGTGGGTGGGGGAAGGAAGATCCACAATGAGTCCATCCAGTTTACCTTCATCCAGTTGGTCCAGAAATGTGACGGCAGAAATCCTATTCTCCTGGGTGTAGCCGAAGCCTGGTTTTGGGGAATGTGGATAAATTAGAAGGAAGCTCGTTGGATAAAATAATTGACTGCGATAACAAATGCATGTGGATTGCAGGTTTTAATTTCCCGTCCAAATGAAAAGCTTTTTTTAAAAAAAGTCGCGGTGGGGTGAGGACATTTCAACTTGATTGTTCGTTTGTTGGATGAGTGGGCAAGTTCTAAAGTTCAGACTCTGTTGGGTTGAATTGATTAGAAAGCAAGTCGAGGGATACCCAAAACATTGGGTGGTGCTGAAAAAAAATAGTCAGCCGGCTGTCTTAACATATGCAGAACTCCATCACCATTTATCCAAACCAGACTGAGAATTCCACGTATGTACGCCACCTGCTTTTGGAAATTTCCCTGTGTCTGGAATGGAATGCACACGCTCTCCCTGAAGGCGTGCACCCTGCTTACTTAATTCTGAAAATTATTAGATGCAGGTTGGCAAGAGCCAAAGCTTGGGAAACTACTGGAGTTTAACTAGCTCACATCCAATAGAGATCACTGTCTCGCAAGATTCCTTTGTCCAACTGGAGCACTCTATCCATTAGGGCTTTGGTTTTCACGGTTAACCGGAGCTGAGTGGGGAGAATCTCTGCTCCCAGTGGGGAGTGCTAAATGATTAGATAATTGTCGGGTAAAGATCAGATTGCAAGCTCCAAACTCGTGGAAACTGCTTGTATTGTACAGTTTAGATCTTACTCATTCCCATGACATCTGCAAAACAGAAAGGTCATTTTAGTCATTCCATACTGGAGCAATTGGCAGAATATTTTCAGAATTTAATGTAGATATTTAAAGGGGTTGGTTTTGTGTTGCTGTATTGGAAACTTTGCTGATGGGCTCAGTTTCCGCGTAATTCAGTTGCAATGTTGGCTGCTGCGGCAAGTTTACACTCAGGTGCTGAGCCCCAGTGCAAACCTTTGCTTTGCAGTTTCAATTTTCTGCATTTTGCCTTTTTATTAAAAATGAAATAAAAAATATAATTGGAAGCCAGCTCGTGCTCACACTGGAACCAAAGTGAATGATTATTTCATTGCCCGGTGAGTCAATATTATTGAGGAATCTGTACCCTCCAGTGATGTACAATGTAGGACTTAATGTGTAATTGGTTATTTAAATGATTCATTTATGGGAAGAGGGTGGTTCCTGATATGTTCCGAAAAATCATACTCAGTCCTAAATAGCATTATTCATGATGATGGATCTCATTTTGGTAGGTGAGGTGATTTCTTTTGGTAGAAAAAATGAGTTTAGGGTGTATTTATTGAATAGCAGTATCTTGAAAGGAGCAAAGATACTTGGGAATGTAAGTACAGAAGTCACTGAAACGGCAAAGAGTTGTGAAAAAAAGCTAATAGCATTCTGGGTTTTATACATAAGGACACAAAGTACAAAAGTAAAGCAACAATGCCAACCTTGTACAAATCATTGGTTAGGCCGCATCTGCATTGAATTTTGGTGACCTAATTTCAGGAAAGATGTTACAACCTTGGAAGACTGCAGAGGAGACTTCCAAGAACGATACCATGATTGGAGGGCTTTAGTTATGAGCAGAGATTAGACAAGATGGATCTATTGTCATTGGAGAAGAAAAGGTTCAGAGGGAAGCTGATAGAGATGTTTCAAGTTATGAGGGGTTTTGACAGGGTACATAGGGAGAAGCTATTTCCACCAGTAGGGAGTCAATGACTAGGGGCCGTTGTTATGATAGTCATCAGAAGAGTGAAAGGATCGTTTAAGCAACATTTTTTTCACACAAGAGTTGTTGGAATGTGGAAAGTCCTACCAAATGAGGTGGTAGAAGCAGAGTCCATTGTGGGTTTCAAGAGGGAAGTAAACAGGTATATGACAGATAGAAGTTTGAAGGGGTATGGGAATAAGGCAGGGCAGTGCGATTGGATGAACAGCTTACTCTGAGAGTCGGTGCAAACACGGTGGGCATAATGGCCGCCTCCTGTGCTGTAAATTTCCATGATTGTATTATTCACTAGGGCGCCCACCTTTGTGTGAAATTCCAATATAAAGTGCTTTGTCAGTAATTCTGATTTTTGTTTTCTTTAAAGGTGCACAAAATTATGCCAACACAAACGCCATGACCTGAAAGATGATGTCTCTGAGAAACAGTGTCCAGTCACTGTGAATCCTCGTCACATGAAAAAAGCTTTTAAAGTTATGAATGAACTGAGAAGGTATGACCTGCACTAACTCATCTGTAGGCATTTCATTAGACCTGCGTTCAATTCCAGACAGGGCGAAACCTTGGGCAAGTTTCCTTACTCCACACAGAGCCTAATAATAATCCCTCCAAAAAACGAAACAATAATAAATTGGTCATTTTCAATCCATGACTGTTTGTGGGACATTGCTGTGCGCAATTGGCTGCTGCGTTCGCCCACAAATATACAGTCAATTCACTTTACAGTATATTCTGTAAAGCGCTTTGGGACGTCTAGAAGACGTGAAAAGCGCTATATCAAATGCAAGGATTATTATTATTTTTATATTATTATTAACTTTGTGGAGTGCTACAAACTACAATGATTATGGTTCAATGGCACTGTGGAGCGGTAGGCAATGGGATTGTGCTTATCAAATTAGACAGATTTATTTTAGGAAATAATATCGAGGAATACAGACTATAAATTTGGGACTTGACATGTGCATGCAAGTGCCAGGATGGTGGAAAGTGAACTGGATGGACCTTGGTCTTCTTTTGTCTAGTGATTCTTATGTTCTTATATTATTTTCTAACCGATTCTTCCTGGTTTGTTGAGTAGATGCACAGGAAAACTAGCGGGCGGTGGAGAGGTGGGGGGGGGTTAATTTTTTCTAGCAAAATCACTGGAACCGCTCAGTGTGGTCTGTTAACTATGTGCTCCAGCATGGCAATTTATTTCACAAATTCATTCAGCCCTGCAGTTCATCCATTAACCGCACTTGGTGTCTTTGCCAGAGAAAACATGGTCGTTAAAGAGTTTTGTTGGGGTGGGGTAGGGAAATGTGCTTGTTGTGGTGAGGAGACAGTGCTAGAGAAGAACATTTTCACGTGATTTGCATCAAATGCTCTCAGGCCAGAGTGAGTTATATACAAGATAACTTTTGCACCATCCTTGTGGCTCAGCTACTCTTTGGATAAATTCACATAAGAGGCACTCTGTGGTCCTCACAGCAGCTGAAAGGTTATGCTTTTTTCCATCAGTATTATTTTGATGTGAGCCCAGGGTAACTAAGTATAACTCAAAGCTGCACATTACCCTTGTGTAATATTGTCTGCTTCACAGTATTTGTACAAATTAATGAGATGTCGACACATGGCGTTTTACAATGTGTTTGTTCTGGAAGTTGCCTCTTTGGCGATCCATTTTATCACATAGTAAAGCTTGGTTCTAGACTTTGGCCAGTGTATTGCGCCACGCTCTGCCAAGTGAAGTGAGTGTAAGGTATTGTGTGCAGTACTGAATGTTTTTTTACCATAAAAGTTTCACTGTTCTTTTTTTTGCAGGCAAAATCTTTTGTGCGATGTGACACTTGTAGCTGAAGATGTTGAGGTTTCAGCCCATCGCGTTGTCCTGGCAGCTTGCAGTTCCTATTTCCATGCGATGTTTACAGGTACTGTAGTAATAATATACTGATTGTAGAATAATGAATGTGCAGCTCAATTTGAGAATTGAGTGTTTAGGCACCAAGTGGTAAGATTATGGCTTTGCACCTGGGTTCTCTCCACACTGTGCGAGATACTGAATGGCATTCAGAGCCTTTCTCATGGAGTTAAAACTGAAGACAAATCATTGAAATTTCACCATAGAAAGTAGTCATTCAGCACATTGTGTCTGTGCTGTGTTATTTGGCTGCCATGTTTTGCCCACAAAATTACAATCAATACACTTTGCAGTATATATTCTGTGAAGCGCTTTGAGATGTTTCGAAGACGTTATAAGGCGCTATGTGAAATGCAAGGATTATTATTATTATTATTTCCCCACTGAAGCTGTTTACATCATTCAATTAATCTGCTCTTTCCCATATCCTTTTTTAAGTCTATGTCTCTCACGCTCCTCAATGAAATTCTTTGCCAAATAGTTATATAATTCCCTCTTTAATTTACTGACACAATCTGCCTCCCACTACATCCCTGGGTAATCTGTGCCTCATATTCACCACTCTGTGCAAAGTAATTAAATCTAAACTCTGCTCACCTTCCTTCTTCTGATCTTAAATCTGTGCCCCCTTATTGTAAGTTTGTTACTATTGAACACATTATTATTATAATGTAGCTCAGTGGTTAGAGCACTCGCTTTGCAAGTGAGAGACCTGAGTTCAATTCCAGGCAGAGGGCGAAACCTTGGGCAAGTTTCCTTACTCCACACAGAGCCTAATAATAATCCCTCCAAAACCAAAACAATAATAAATTGGTCATTTTCAATCTACGACTGTTTGTGGGACATTGCTGTGCGCAATTGGCTGCCGCGTTCGCCCACAAATATACAGTCAATTCACTTTGCAGTGTGTTCTGTGAAGCGCTTTGGGACGTCCTCCCAACGTGAAAAGCGCTATATCAAATGCAAGGATTATTATTATTATTATTATTATTATTATATGATTATATTGTTCTATTATTCTATTATTTGATTATTATGATATATTATTAGATTATTATGTTTAATTGCATTATTATTGGATTATTATTTACATTATATTATAATAAGGTTCAGTTTGTCTATATCCTTTCAGATCTTGAATAATAATCCTTCATTTGATATAATACCTTATCATGTCTTTGATGTCTCAAAGCAATTCATGTGATTTTCCTGTGAAATGTATTTGAAATGGATTCTGTCCATCTGTGACCAGGGTCAGGGTTCCCTCTGCCTCTTCGTCCTCCTTGACCTCTCTGTGGCCTTCAACACTGTCGACCACTCTATCCTCATCCACCGTCTCTCTTCTCACCTCAACCTTCATGGATCTGTCCTTGAATGGTTCAGATCGTCCCTCTCACACTGCATCCACTTCATCTCCACAAACGGTTTCTCCTCTAGCCCCCGCACTGTCTCGTGTGGCGTTCCTCAGGGCTTCGTCCTTGGTCCCCTCGTCTTCAATATCTATATGCTCCCTCTTGGTGACATCATCCACAGACATGGGGTCAACTTCCACCCTTGACTCCAGGACCACTGCTGTCCTAACAGAATGTCTGTCAGACATCAAGTCCTGGATGAGAACTAACTTTCTTCAGTTGAACGTCATCAAGACCGAGGCTCTCCTGATTGGCTTCCGTCAGCGCCTCCGCACCTCAGGTACTGACAGCATCATCATCCATGGTTACACACTGCACCTAACTGAGACAGTCTGGAACCATGGCATCTTGTTTGACCCTCAACTATCCTTTCTACCCCACATCCTTGCCATGACCTGCTCTGCCTTCCCCCACCTCCCCAATATTGTCCGGCTCCGCCACTGTCTCACACCGAAGGCCTCCAAAACCTTCATACACTCATTCATAACATCTAGGTTTGACTGTGCAAACTCCTTGTTTGTGGGCCTTCCCAATTCCTCCCTCCATAGGCTGTAGATCATCCAGAACTCTGCAGTCCGTATCCTCTCCCGCACTGGACTCCGTGACCCTATCACCCCCATCCTTGTCCGATTCTACTAGCTTCCCATCACACAGAGGATACAGTTCAAGATCCTGGTCCTCACCTTCAAAGCCCTCCATGGTCTTGTTCCCCCTACCTCTGCGACCTCCTAACCCTACCATCCTGCTCGCTCCCTCCGCTCAGCAGGCTCTGGCCTGCTTCATGTCCCTCGCCTCGCCCCCAGCCCCACCGTTGGCGGGTGGGCCTTCTGCCACTCTGCCCCCACCCGCTTGAACACCATCCTGCACTCCCTCTGCTTCACCCCCTCCCTTGCATCCTTCAAGACTCACCTCAAGACCTCCTCTTCGACTGTGCTTTCGATCATCCTGCTTCCCCCCCTGCTCTCCACCCTCCCATATCCCGACCCCCAGCTCGGGTCCAAAACTCTGACTATCCAGCGCCTTGGGATGTCCTCCCGACGTGAAAGGTGCTATACAAATGTAATTTTGTTGTTGTTATAGATGGCAGCTAATTTGCACATAGCAATGTCCCACAAAAGACATGAAGATAGGAAAAGACTAATGGATCGTAGTGGTGTGTTACAGATACGCATTAGTTTTGAGTTGATTTTGCTTCATTAGTGAAAACCTACACTGTAGAGAGCCAAACCCTCTATGTCGCAATGTCCCCTTTAATATGAAATGGAACCAGTTACTTGATGCAACAAGAAACATCTTTTCTCTTTTTCTGACAATGAAGTGTGACTGCTGGCAAGTTGAAGTTAAGGAGCAAGGAGACTGTTGGAAATCAGCAATGGGCTATTTGCTACCAAAGGTGCAATGTCACTACAGGTTTCTTAGTGTCAGAGGTACAGAGTTAGATTGCACATTGTGACATTAAAGGGTTGAGTTCTAGTTGTTAAGTTAATTTATCGACCTTGGTGAAGTGAACGTTCAATAATTCATTACAAGCTCAACTGCTAAGGTTGATAGATTTACCGACTGTAAGAAAATCGACTGCCAAGATTGCCATCAAGATAGAAACAAAATAACTTTTGTCATATATAATGGGCATAATGAAGCCCATTGTACAGTGATTTCTAATACTAACAGTCCTGGACCTTCCAGCGAGATGATGAGACACATTGAGGAATTGTTTTCTTCCTGTGTGTGCGCTGAGTTCCCGCTCTCAAATTGACTCATTTGTTGACTCGAGTAAAACACACTTCTGCTGCGTGAAATATTTCCTTGTTTGAAAAATGCCCTTAATTACTGTATATACATTTTCTCTCCTGAGTTTGTTTTAAACAATTCAAAAGTGAATTTTCTTGAATAAGCACTGTTCACTCCCTTTCTCTCCCCCCAATCCCCCCTTTTCCTACCCAAAAAAGTAAAGCTCACTATTTGTTTTTATGCTACTGCAGTGAATCCAAAGAAAAAATAAACAGCAAGCATATGTATAGGGCAGTGATTTTACCCTCCAGGCAACCCTACTTGTAAAGGACAAGTATTTTAGGAGCAGCTTTGTCCTTGTTGTCTGCCTGCAGTTTACTGTTGTACACTTGGGTGGCATTCCATCTGGGAAGTGGGTGAGGAAACGTACAGTCACTGCGGTTCTGGAAAAGCTAATTTTTTGTGCAGCTGTGTTGGTGAACATTGTAAGCTCTGAGAGATCAGTCGGTGGTAAAGTATAAGTTTGTCCTGTGTGCAATACATTGTGTTTTGAGGGTGAATTGCCATGCCTCAAAAGTGCTAATATGTAGATTTGTGCCAAAGATCTTCTCAAAATGAGTTCCTGATCTCCACTGTGTCATTATGGCAGGGGAGCGGGGGGTGGGTGAAACCTACCACCTGCTCCCTGAAACCTACCACCTGCTCCCTTGACCCCATCCCCACTCCACTCCTTATCTCCCAGCTCCACCTCCTTGCCCCACATATCACAGACATCGTCAACCTGTCCCTCTCCTCTGGCTCTATTCCCATTCCCTTAAAAACTGCCACCATCACTCCCACCTTAAAAAAAACTCTCCCTTGATGCGTCACAGCTATCAAGCTACCGGCCCATCTCCAACCTCCCCTTCCTATCCAAGGTCCTGGAACGAGTTGTCGCCTCCCAGCTGCGCTCTTTCCTCTCCAACCATTCATTATTCGAACCCCTTCAGTCGGGTTTCCGTGCTGCCCATAGCACAGAAATTGCCCTGGTCAAGGTCACCAATGACATCCTGACCATCTGTGACCAGGGCTCCCTCTGACTCCTCGTCCTCCTCGACCTATCGGCAGCATTCGACACGGTCGACCACGCTATCCTCCTCCACCGCTTGTCCTCCCACCTAAACCTTCCCCCTTGGTGACATCATCCACAGATATGGGGTTAACCTCCACATGTATGCGGATGACACCCAACTCTACCTTTCCTCCTCTACCCTCAACTCCACGACCACCGATGTCCTGACAGTCTGCCAGTCCGACATCGAGTCCTGGACGAGAGACAACTTTCTCCAGTTCAACGTGCGCAAAACTGAGGCCCTCCTGAAAGGCTCACGTCAGCGCCTCCGCACCTCAGGCGCTGACAGCGTCAGCATCCAAGGCTGCACTCTCCACCTCTCAAAGCCAGTCAGGAACCTCGGCGTTTTGTTCGACCCTGAGCTGTCCTTTCTCCCTCATATCCGCACCACAACTGGCACCGCCTTCCATCACCTCCAGAACATCGCCAGACTACGGCACTACCTCACCCCTCACGCTGCTGAAACTCTGGTCCACGCCTTTATCACCTCAAGGCTGGACTATGGGAACTCTCTCCTCGCCGGCCTTCCCGCCACCTCCCTCCACAAGCTGCAGGTCATTCAGAACTCTGCAGCTCGTGTACTGTCCCGCACCAGGCTTCGGGACCACATCACTCCCACCCTCGCTCGCCTCCACTGGCTCCCCATCCCCAGAGGATCGAATTCAAGATCCTCATCCTCACCTACAAGGCCATTCACGGCCTTGCTCCCTCCTACCTCTCCGACCTACTATCCCCCTACCTACCCGCCCGTACTCTCTGTTCCTCCGGCTCCGGTCTGCTCCACATCCCCCGCCCCAACCGCCCTACCATCGGTGGTCGGGCCTTCAGCCTCTCAGCCCCTAGGCTCTGGAACTCTATCCCCCAGTGCCTTCGCCGCTTCCTCCCTTTCCTCCTTCAAGGCCGGTCTCAAGACCTTTCTCTTTGACTGTGCCTTCAGCTCCCCTCTCGACTCTCTACCCCCTCCTCGCTCCCTCCCTTCCCTCCCTCACCCTGACCATTTCCCCCCTGCTCGGGTCCTGACCCAAGTGTACAGCGCCTTGGGACGTCCTCCCGACGTGAAAGGCGCTCAATAAATGGAATCTTGTTGTTGTTGTTGTTGTTGTTGTGGGGGCGAAGTGAGGTATTCGCCCAAAAGGGTACAGGCACCAGTAAATGAAAGGAGATCTAGATTAACTCCCCAAAAAGTTCATTTCAATATTTATCACATGAGTTTTATTGTATTAAAGTAGTTGTGTTCTGCTGCAGAACAACACATACTTTTTTTTGATTATTTTAAAAATACTGAGTTGCAAAAAAGGAATCTTAGTCTGGTTCGTTCTAATGGCCCATCCCAATATCCTTCGGTTTCAGTGCCGTAGGTAAGCATTGTGAAGGTCTTTAATATGGGAGTTTGGTTGGGGCTTTAGACGTTGTTTACTAGACGAGTACGTACAATCTCTATGGTACATGTACAGCCTTTGTATATACCATTAGGGCTTCTGAAATTTGACATTAAAGAACACTTTGCAAACTTTGTTTCCCTCTAAAAAAGTGAGTCTCGCCTCTGGTGTTGAAAATTGACTTTATTGGATTGATTTTCTGTGCATTAAGCCTTGAGCACTGCATAATAATGTTTAATCAGAATAAATCAATTTTTTCCTTGGAGTGAATTAAAGTCATTTAATAGTCATTTAAGTCTTGTCATTTGGGATGTGTTGCATATCCCAGTTGAAGCAGCAGTTGAGGTGATCAAATTTGGACGAGGAAGAAGGAAAATTAGTCAGAGTTTTCGTTCTGATCGCTATCCTGGAAAGTGTGGGATGTCGAGTGAGGAAAAGATCAGGATCGGCTGGGATGTCCTCTGGGGTCACATAGTTTACACTCAGTGTCCATGCTGATACATGGGCATTAGTCACTTGGGCAAGTGTACCACAAGGCAGCCGATGCCAGTGAATCAAATGCAAGGATTATAAAATATATAAAATAATATTGTATATTATTTTATACGATAAATGTATGCTGGCAAGAGTTCAACAACCTTCAGGATGGGAGGAGAAGATTAAAAACAATAAGAGAAAGCCTGACAGATAATTATTACTTGCAATGCCAGTACAAGTCATTCATAGAGGTGTCTGAATAGAAAAATGGCTTGCCTTCTGAACTGTTTTTTCTGTTGCAGGTGAAATGAGCGAGAGCAAAGCAAGGCGAGTTCGGATAAAGGAAGTAGACGGCTGGACACTGAACATGCTCATTGATTATGTCTACACAGCTGAAATCCAGGTTACAGAAGAGAATGTACAGGTACTGTGTGAGTAGATCACTTTGTTTAATTTTAAGTGAAGCTCTTATAGACAATAATTACTGCAGTGTTACAGACTTGCTTTCTATGGGACCTCCGAGATAACTGCAATGTAGTCTCAGTGAGGTCCATGGTGTATGATTACCAACAACTTGCCCATTCATATACAATGAATCATGAGTCTTGCATTTATTGTAGCGCTTTAATACCAAGGGGTGTTGAAACAATTAATAATAATAATAATCCTTGCATTTGATATAGCGCTTTTCACGTCTTCTAAACGTCTCAAAGCGCTTCACAGAATATGCTGTAAAGTGATTTGACTGTATATTTGTGGGTGAAACACAGCAGCCAATTGCGCACAGCAATGTCCCACAAATAGTCGTGGATTGAAAATGACCAATTTATTATTGTTTTGTTTTGGAGGGATTATTATTAGGCGTGTGGAGTAAGGAAACTTGCCCAAGGTTTCGCCCTGCCTGGAATTGAACCCAGGAGTCTCGCTTGCAAGACGAGTACTCTAACCACTGAGCTACACGACTCCAGGTTAAATAATAAGTAATCTATGCATTTGAAATAGAGCCATATTGGGTTGTTGAGAGATGTCTCAAAGTGCTTCAGAGGATATGCAGTAAAGCAATATGATTGTGTGTTTTGTGTCCAAATTAATGATATTAACGGGGAGGTTTTGATGGCAGGTAGAGAGGAAGAGATGAAAAAATAAGCCTAAGAGCTTTGAAAGAGAGTTCCACGGCACAGAGGTGTAACGTTTGGTGTTTTTTTTAACAATGGGAGAGCTTTGGGGATTTTTCTCAATTTCCAAAACAGAAATGTTGTCGAATGAGTCTAAGTAATTCCAAAATAGTCTAATTTATATGCTCCTCCCTACCTCCATGACCTGCTTACTCAGAGACTGGTTGCTCCTTCCGCTCCATGAGCTCCAGCCTGCTTCATATCCCCCTGCCCAGCCCACCTCACCATCTGCGGTCAGGCATTCAGCCTCTCTGCTCCCACCTTTTAGTTGAAAATATTATTATTATTAGGAGAGTGTTTTTTTGCACAGTGCTGCTTTGTCGTTTGTGCTCTAATCTTAGAATCCTAAAAATTTCCTTGCAGAAGGTCATTCAGCCCATTTACCTGTGGCATGCTAGTTCCCCACTGCTCTAATTCTATTTCTCTGCTCTTTCCCTATACCAGTTTACGTCAATACTCAAGTGTCTAGTCTAATTCCCTTTTAAATCTTATAATTCAGTTTTCTCTTGTGGTTTCTACCCCACATCCGAGCCATGACCTGCTCTGCCTTCCCCCACCTCCACAACATTCCCTGGCTCTGCCACTGCCTCTCCCCTCAGGCTGCCGAAACCCTCATCCATGCATTTATGACATCTAAGATCAACTACGTCTACTCCCTGCTTGTCGGCCTTCCCAATTCTGACCTTCACAAGCTGCAGATCATCCAGAACTCTGCAGCTTGTGTCCTCTCCTGCAACAGGCTCCACAATCCTATCACTCCCATCCTCGCCTGGCTTCACTGGTTCCCCATCAGCAGAGGATAGAATTCAAAATCCTCGCGTTGCGCCTTCCTACCTCTGTGACCTGCTAACCCCATATCAACCTGTCTGCTCCCTCCGCTCAACAGGCTCCGGCCTGCTCCATGTCCCCCACCTGTCCCATCCAACCATCGGTGGTCGGGCCTTCAGCCTCTCTGTCCCCACCCTTTGGAACTCCATCCCACAGTCCCTTTACCTTTCTCTCTCCCTTGCTCCTTCAAGGCATATCTCAAGACCCTCCTGTTCGACCATGCCTTCGGCCACCCCCCTACCTTTACCCTCCCTACCTTCCACCCCTCCTGGAGGGAATCTTGATTTTACGTCCTCTTGCCCATTCACCAAACAGTGAAAATCTTGTCATAATTACCATCAAACCCTTTCAAAATGTTGAATATTTATGTTCCCCTCTTAACCCTCCGTTGATTAAAGTCCAGATTTCCAATCTCTCCACGTAAATAAGTACCACTATGCTTATTATTACATTTGTGAATCTGTGCTGGAGTTCCCCTTGGCTGTGAGATCCTCTCTGGAAAGTGTGCTAAAACCTGCACAGATTCCATCAGCGGCAATGTAACTAATGTCATGTATGGATTCAGCATCACCTCTGTTTGTATTCAGTGGCACTATATTACAAAAAAATCCATATGCCTGTATATGGCTCTTTGCATCTGTAATTTGGCTTTTCAAGATTTATATATTTGCTTTCCCAGATTAATCTCTTCTTCTATCCTTAGGAGAATGTTATCGTTTAGGACACATTTCCGTTCCTATTCCTTTGGCATATCCGCACACTTCCTGTATTCTCCTGACACTTTGCCATGGTTTGCCAAAGCCCCACATATGCTATTCTTTTGTAGTTCTTAATGAAAAAGTTTGGAGCAATCACTAATCTTTTATAAAACTATTGTGAAGTTTCACTGAGAACAAACTTGTTAGCTCTGTGCAGAAATCCACCCACTATCTTGACTTGTACCTGTAGAATAGCCCCTTCAGCAAAGTACTGGAGTCTCCCGATGTGAAAGGCGCGAGTGTATATAAATGTAAATTTTGTATTGAGTACTGCAGCATCTCGGAATCCGTACCCAAGCATGAGTCATTGTCCTCAGAGAAGGAGTGGAAAAGATGTGCTTGTGGTTGTGTGCACGGAATTGCATGGGTAATTGCCACTCTTTTAGAGCTGGGTTTCTCGCCTGTTGGGTTCTGCAATAAGAAAATGCTCTGAAAATAGTTGATCCTTTTCCATTTGAGACTGTTTCTGATTGCACTTCTGAAATTCATAATAGTTTTTTGGAATACTTATAGTCAAGGGGTTGATGTGTCAGCCTGTCTCAACTGGTAGCACTCTTGCCTTTGAGTCAGAAGGTTGTGGGTTCAAGCTCAATGTTGGGACTTGGAACTTAAATAATCTAAGGTGACCCTCTTATGCAGTGCTGGGAGGTTGTTGCATTGTCGGAGGTGCCGCCCTATAGATGAGACGTTAAACTGAGGTTCTGTCTGCCTGTCCAGGTGGTAAAGTTTACTTGGCACTATTTAAAAGAAAAAGGGAGTTTCTTCCAGTGTCCTGGCCAACAATCCCCAAATAAAATTGGCCATTCACTTCACGGCTGTTTGTAGAATGTTGCTGTGTGGATATTGGCTGCCGAGTTTGCCCACAAATACACTGTCACTCCACTTTACAGTACATCCTGTGAAGTGCTTTGGGATGTTCTGGTGCGAAAGGCATTATACCAAATATTATTGTTATTGATGGTATTTTAGTACAGGAACTATTGGTGGTATAAGATTAAAAAAGCTAAACCAATCTCCTGCAAAGTAACCTCCCCTTTGTTGTCAAACTAACTGCTATCCCAGTAGTTATAATAAAAAATCTTTGCATTTGATATAGTGCCTTTCATGTCAGGATGGCATCCCAAAGTGCTTCACGGGATATGTTGTAAAGTGGAGGGTCTGTAGTTTTGTGTTGTACCTCTTTCTGACGTGTGGTTGTTGTAGCAGATGGAATTGCAGTGTAATACTTTTGGAAAGGTCTTGATGTATTTGCTTTATACGGTACTTAAAATTAATGTTGTTTTATATGTGTTATAATTACAACTGTTATCACATTAGGTATCACAAGGATTGATGAGGTTATAAAAACGAAAACAAAACTGCCAAATTTTAAGAAGACATCAAACTTAAAACTTTATGCAATTGAGAAGTCTTGTCAGAGCGGGCCTGGTAGGTTTAAACATGGCTCAGGGAGCAGAGGAACTAAGGAGCTCATTCAAGGAGGTGATTTGGAATACATTGGATCATTGTGTATCCACACAAAGCAAAGATACCAAGCTAAAGGGCACTCCTGCTGGTTGGAAGGGGCCACAAAGCAACTCATAAAGAGGAGGGGAAAAAAGGCATTGAAGGCCATGAAAGAAAATGGCATAGAGGAAAGATGGACTCATTAACAGAAAGCATGCCAGGATTGTAAGAAAGGTATCAGAGTGGCAAAGACATTTTTTGAAATGAACATGGCAAGAGATGTGAGGAATAACAATAACAACAACAACAACAAGGTTACATTTGTATAGCGCCTTTCACGTCGGGAGACGTCCCAAGGCGCTAGACAGTGTAGAGCATTTCAGACCCGAGCTGGGGTCAGGGAGGGAGAAAGGAGGGGAAGGGGGGTGGCTGATGGCATGGTTGAAGAGGAGGGTTTTGAGGCGGGACTTGAAGGAGGCTAAGGAGGGGGCGAGGCGGAGTGATTGGGGGATGGAATTCCAGAGGTTGGGGCAGAGTGGCTGAAGGCTCTTCCGCCAACGGTGGGGCGGGTAGGTTGGGAGACGTGGAGCAGACCAGAGCCGGCTGAGTGGAGGGAGCGGGCGGGTTGGTAGGGGGTTAGGAGGTCACAGAGGTAGGGTGGGGGGAGGGCTTTGTAGGTGAGGACCAGGATCTTGAACTGGATCCTCTGAAGGATAGGGAGCCAATGGAGTCGGGCGAGAGTGGGGGAGATGGGGTCATGGAGTTTGGTGCGGGAGAGGACATGGGCTGCAGAGTTCTGGATTATCTGCAGCCTGTGGAGGGAGGAGTTGGGAAGGCCGACAAGCAGGGAGTTTGCATAGTCGAGCCTGGAGGCTTTCAGCTTTCAGTTACATTAAGGGAAAAAGAAAAACAAGGGATGGAATAATAATATAATAATAATCCTTGCATTTGATATAGTGCCTTATCATGTCTTTGAGACATCTCAAAACGCTTCAGAGACTATACTGAAAGTGAATTGACTGTATATTTTGTGGGCGAAACGCAGCAGCCAATTGCGCACACCAGGGTCCTACAAACAGTCGTGGATTGGGAGACCAAATTATTTTTATTTATTTTGAAGGAATTATTACCCCCGAAAAAGTGATCTACCAATCGACTAACAACCGGGATCCTACTTACTGCTAGGTAAACAGAGACCTGTAGATTAAGGAAACTTG